TGTTCCCAAACACCGGAAGAGGGATCATGCGATACCTGGGCCGCCCTGAATTCAAATGACCATTGGGGGTGGGGGGGGGGTGCATTTGATCGGCAAATGTTGACTTACACGGAGAATAGGAATCCAAAGAGATGGTGCTGACTATGGGCCTCAATTGTTTTTGCATGGGACTAGATGAGCCTTAAAAGTCATTCGGGAATGTAGAGAAAAATAAGCCGGTAGACATGTATTCAAAATTCAAATGGGCAACACTAGCCGCCGGTCGACCGGCTCCAACCTCGACCAGGGCGATTCCTATTCCCCGCCCGGATCGAGGGATAGAGAGCAAACGCGCACAGCGTCGCGTGAATGGGCCAGACCGTTAGTCTGTTCTGCGTTTTTCTGTCTATTTTCTTTCATTATTTCTTATTTCGTGTTTTCCTTTTTATTCACGGTTTTTTTTATTTTCTGTTTTGAAATTCCCAACAAATTACAAATTTGTAAACCCATTTTTCAAATCATGCGCAATTTTTTCACACGTGACCGTTTTTGAAAATCATATATATATTTTAAATTTTTGAAGCATAGAACATTTAAAAAAACATGAACATTTTTTAAACTTGTGAACATGTTTTAAAGACATGGGTATTTTTTAAACTCACCAACATATATCGAAATTCATGAATAATCTTTGAATTAGCGAACATTTTTTTAATTCATGAACATTTATTTTGGTCACTTACTTTATTACTGGTTTGCCGGTGTCTGAAAGCACACCAAACATGTATTAAAAGATATTCTCGTAGATAGGTGTGAAACATCATTTATTCTTTTTGTGATGCTAATATATGAAGTATATTTTCCACCAAAAATATATGAACTATATTTTATCATGTATTAATGTGTATAATACTCCTCGATTCTTTAGTGTTGGTAAAATTAGCGATATTTATTTTGTTCTCATGAAAATCATATCTTACTGAAGATTTGAGGTAGAATTTTATTGATGGTTATTTGGTGCAGATTGATAATATGCCATATCTTGGCATCATATTTATTATTTTCCACATTTGGTGTGGAAGCCCATTCGACATGGGCCATCCATGGCAAACCCTATGTTTGTGTAGACCGTTTCCACAGCTTACATGCGTAAAGCGTTGTGTCGCTATGTTCGGCCATTTTCGCTGTTGTATCGAGCATTTTTTTGTTGTTTATTTTCTCGTTTCGTATGGCACTGTGCGTGTGCAGGCGCATATGTGTCACATGGAAGACGATCTCAGTTTTGATATATAGGTTGAGGTTCACTCACCCGATGAAATGTACTGCTGACACCTAATTCTTAATCTTTCCTCATGGCATTTGGTTTATTTCGGTTTAGTTTATACTGCTTATAATAATATTGGTTTTCTAAGATCGGAACCCAAATTTGATCACCAAAGATTTAAAAGCCAAACCTAATAATATCGGTTTTCTAAGAACGGAACCCGAATTTGATCAGTGAAGATTTGAAAGCCAAACCTAATAGATTGAAATATTCTGTTTAACTGGATTGCCCATAGTCACATGCCAGTAGGACAGGGACCTCCTATTCCCCGACCCGTGCAATGGAAAACGAGGTAACTTGGCCCGGCCCAGGTGCAGGGCCGGGCTCCCTTGTTTCTTTTTTTCGTTTCATTTTTTGTTCTTTTGCTTCTTTAAAACAGTTCGGGATTTCAAACAGTTCTGTATTTCAAAAAATATTCACGAATTCAAAAATGTTAATGATTTCCAGAAATGTACATTTGCTAATTTGATGATGAACACTTTTTGTATTTTGATGTACGAATTTTCATTTTTATGAATTTTTTTCTGATTTTGGTGAATATTATTTTTAATTTGATGAATAAATTATGAATTCAAGAATATTTTTTGAATTGTATAAACATTTTTTAAATGTATGAACATATTTTGAAATGGATGAAGATTTTGCAGATGACAAATATTTATTAATTGAAAACACTTCGAATTCAATGACCACATTTTGTATTTGATGATTTTTTTGTGAAATTCGATGAACATTTTCATAATTTTTAAAAAATGTTCACGGAAATAATAAACGAAAAGGAACAAAAGAAAGGAAAAAACGAATATGAAAACAAAAGAAAAACGAGAATGAAAAAACAAAACAAAAAAATGACAAATGAAAGAAAAACAAAAAAGCAAGCCTAGGAATGTCGAAATCACTAATTAAGGAGTACTTGTTGCAAAGAACACTCCACTTTCCCAGGTTGCGACAAAGTGGCGTATATGCAGTGCGCCACTTGTCGCAACTTGTGAGTTTTCCTTTTTTTCGTAGATCCGTTTATTCAAAATATTTTATGTTTTAAACCGTGCGTCCAAATCTCGAACCGTTTTCATCATTGGATTCCTCGCGTCAAGATCTTCAAAATTAGATCCCATGTTGATAGGTTTGACGAACTTTTTTTTTCATGAAAAAACGGGATGAAAAAACGGGCGAAAAAACCGAACCGGAAGTACGGTTTTTTTCCTTTCCGAAAGAGGCACGCCCATGCCTCTCGTGAAATCACACCCGTGCCTCTTGTGGAAGCAAAACCATGACTCTCGTGGAAGGAAAAAAACAGAAAACATGTTTTTTTTCCCGTTTCCGAGAGGCACGCCCGTGACTCTCGTGAAAGCACAACCATGCCTCTCGCGGAAGCAAAACCATGACTCTCGTGAAAGAAAAAAAAACAGAAAACGCATATTTTGTTTCCCTTTCTAAGAGGCACGGCCGTGACTCTCACGAAAGCACAACCGTGCCTCTCGCGGAAGCAAAACTGTGACTCTCGCGAAAGAAAACAAAACAAAAAACATGTTTTGTTTTCCCTTTCCGAGAGGCACGGCCGTGACTCTCGCGAAAGCACAACCGTGCCTCTCGGGAAGCAAAACCGTGACTCGCGAAAGAAAAAAAAAATAAAAAACGCGTTTTTTTTCGTTTCCGAAAGGCATGGCTGTGACTCTCGCTAAAGCACAACCGTGCCTCTTGCGAAAAAAAAACCGTGACTTTCGCGAAAGGGAAAAAAAGAAAACATGTTTTTTTCGTGCAAAAAGAAAAATTATCGAATTTTTTTATTAAAAAGCTAAGAAAGACCGGGAGAAAACCAAAACATCGAAAAAAATCAGAAAAAAACCGTTTAAAAAGCCGAAAACGCGTGTAGAAAAATAAAAAAAAAACAAAATCCGAAAGGAACATCCAGACGCGACACGTGGCGAATGGCTGAGAGCGCGCCAAATGACGCTGATCGTTGCGAGGCTCCCGAAGAAGCGCTCGTTAACTAGTTGCTCCCTAGAAATGTTCCCAAGACTGGAAGATGGAGCATGAGCTACCTGGGCGGCCTGGATTCAAACAGCGACCATCGAAGCGAGTGCATTTGATCAAAAAACATCGACCTAAGCGGAGAATAGGGATGCCGAATAGAATACGTTGAGGCATTGAGAAAGAGGTGGTGCTGACTGACCGTGGGCCTCACTTCCTTCTTCCATAGGAGCAGTTGTGCCTTAAAAGTCAGTCAAGCATGTACTCCTTTCGTTTTTTTAGTCTATATATAAGGTTTGGTCAAAGTCAAGCTTTATA